ATTATGCAAATCCCACATGGATCCACAGTTGCAGGGGAAAATGTGTTTGAGAAGTATAATCCTTCTCTCATTGCCTACTATGTAAGAGAGGGGATTGTGAGTTATCCAACTAGCCTATACCAAAGATCTTGGAAACAAGTAGCACAACTATGAGAAATCAGATTTGGGTACTTTGGGATGAGACTCGGATTCCTGGATGGTGATTGCTATATCATAATGGACCACAATGGAAGTTCCATAATGGTGGATCATCAGTGTGGCAATGATTGGATAGAACATCTATGTACCACATAAGGTGCAACCTTGACAATGTGATAGGTTGTTTACATACCCACAACATGCTGTGTATGTCAAAAGCTATCCTCAAAGATATCTGGGCTAATGATATGTGGCTGCCTAATTGCTGTTGGTTTAATTTGACATTCATGGTAAATGCAATGAGCTTTGGGTGTATGTAATGTCAGGTGAAGACTTAGAAATGCCATAATTTATGACATACCAGGAGCAGACAGTAGATCAACCCTGCCTCAAATAATAGCAATAAGACCTTCCACACTGTTGATTGGCCTTGAAAGGACCTGATGTTTCCAACGACTTTCTTGTGCTTCCTGCTTGACATGTTAAAAAGGATCAAGAATCAGAGGTAAAAGTACCAGGCAGCATATCCAATGAAGAAAGTTGTCAATAAATTAGTTCCAAATGTGAGGCCCATGCCAGCATCTGATAAATATTTGGAGACAGAGTTCAATCTTCCGCTAGTTGTTATGGCCCCAAATATAGCACCTCAAATCATTGTCTATAGGATTCTTTCCTCAAAATTTGAATGGAAGAATACATACCAGCTGTCAAGACCCAGATAATGATTGTTATACAGAGGACCCAGGACTTTCTTGCGAAAATAACCCATGCTCTCCAGATGTTTAGAATATCACTGGTGAGAAGCTAGTTGGCAAATTGAATTCCTGATGTCAAGTACCAAGGATTCAGGAAGGTGCCCACTGGAATTAACTGACACCCTTCAACTGTTCTATCCCAGAGCTGGAGCTGGGCACTAGCTGGCGTGTAATTTTGCTCTTGTGCTGTATCAATATTCCGTATTGTGTCTAGGCGCATAAGATAAGCAAGTCGTCCGATATTGGCAATGAGAAATCCAGTTCCAGTGAGAGGTCCAAAAAGACTTATGAACACTGAAACTCTGCGTGATGGCCTATATAACTGAGGATAAGGACACAGTATCGATGAATGAGTGACAGTTCATCGACTAACCCCAGAGGCTTCCGTACAGCAAAGAAAACAAGAGGACAGAGTATTCCTGCAAACTTGATTAATCCACAAACATCCTGCATTGATAAGTTGACATTGTGTACCATAAAGGATGACGATGCAGATATGATGATAAAAGTTGGCCAAGAGTATGTTACCAAGGGCCTTAACAGATTCTCGTTCATCGGGAGTCATGGAATGATTGCTCAGACTGAGTGTTATGCCACATAACTGGTTCTATATGTTCCAGAATGAGGATATATTTTGGGTGCTATCCTCAAAACAATCAAACTTATCATGATCGCGATGTAGACATCCGTCATGAGTGAATCAGCCAATCTCGTCAAGTTATAATTGTAAACAGGGGTTCAGACACCCAAGTGCTGATCATGGTCATTAAAGGTACAACCAGGGCATTGGGAGCATTCATGATGCCAGAGCTTGATAACTTGAGTCGTTCATGTTCCATGCTTGGGCGCATTACATCGATTACTGTCCGTGAATCCACAAGGAAAGGCTTCTCAAAATAGTTCTCTGAGTTCCACCCGTTGGATTGAACGGAAGATCACTGTCTTCTACATCAAGCCGTGTTCTGAACTATGATCACAGTGTTCTCCTAGAAAGAGCAACTGTTCAGGTCCTGCTTTTCATAAGCTGGTTTAGTTCTGCTTTGATGTTGAGGATCAATTAGTATGTTTTCGATCTCTTGATGGATCGAATACTTGATGTCACTTGGAAACTCTGTAACGGATCAAAACATGAACGACATTCCTCGGGAGTGGGAACACATTGCTTTTGACATCACAAGTGCAGACAGATAAGTCTACAGTCCCACCATTTTGTTCATATCTCAGCATCGAAGGCCACTTCGATCCGTGTGACAAGTGTAAGAAACATATCAATTGCCATGTATGACTCAATCCATCAGTGAATTGTTCCCATCAACAAGCCCCTGTTGAAATATGACTATACACTATATATGACATCCAGAGAAACGTCCTCAGATCTCAGACAAAACCGATTTGTAGAGGTACACTGTGCTGGTGCTGTCTTGCTAATTAATCGAAATTCGATAGCATAATCAGGCTCCCAGTTTAACTGCCGTTGAGATTCAACGGGATAACACTCGGAAGTACGACACCTCCCTAATTCGGAGAAAATTTGTCTTGTAGGACATGTGCTAGAATGGGGGCTGTACCAGTGTTCAAGTTTCAGTTATTTCCGTGGATGACACCTCGCCTCTCGTAGAAACAGCGAAGAAATAGAAATATAAACTCCACGCTGTTCGTTCACCGACTGTGTCCCCTATCCTATCATATTCTCATCTCTCAACTCTTTCCGTCTCTTCAATTCCTTCAGGTGATGAAAGACGAATTATGTGTTCACCTCCGTCGACAATCAATTTGTTCTAGCAATGGCTTCATATCCCCACCACTTTCCAAGAAAATTCCAATGGCAGACCAAACTCAAAAGACGCTCCATATGTATAGTTAAATTTGTGTCTTCCCAATTTGCTCAAGGCATTGGCTGTGAGGCAGCATTGAGCTCGTTATTTGTGCCCTTCCACGCTAGCGTATAGAGGAGAATCACCCGAAGATTGAAGTATGTCGAGAATTTTCACCGTAATAATACCAGATTTGTCAAGGAACTCAGCCGCGTCAATTCCAGATTGGAAAACCACTGAGCCCGGATGAGGTCAGATATATTCGTCGCGGTTGTCATATGGTATTCCATCCTCTGTGGGATATCGAAATCTTTCTGATAGCATTGGCTAAGGTACGACCTGATCTGCGCTCTCGATCCAAATTGATATTGAATGGTTACAAACTTATCGCTCCTCTTCCCGCCTTTACACAACAGACTCGTTTATCGGAACGGAAAACTGTCTCTAATCAAACCGATGGCATCCTCAACCCAAGTTAATGACTTGATTAAATACAAATCATACATGAATTCTGCTAATATCAAGTTTAAGACTTTTCAGTCTAGATGCGCTCCCACACAACAATCCTCTCCTTGCCGACATGGCTGGGTAAGGACGTCGTCGGAGCTTTCTCCAGAACTTTCTTGAATGATCCATCAAGTACTTCCTCATAATGTTCTACTCGCACAAAGAAAGGTGGGCCTAGGTCTGTCGGCGGATCGATCGGGAAGACGAGTGTGATGAGGTAACCTTGGGGCTTGATGAGAGAAGCCATTTGCTGTGCCCATTCAGTGCGTCTCGTAGGCGGAATGACAATGAAGAAACTAATGAAATTATGAAAATGAAGGTTCTGGTATTGAGACCGCGAAAGAAACATGCCCATAATCATAGATCAAGTCAAATTGCTCCTCTCGCTTATAATGGAAAAAATCTTCCGAAGTAAACGAAACCTTTCCGGTGCCAGAATTTTCATATGAGCTCATAAGGCTGAGAATAGTAAACAGTCAGTGGAACTTGTCAAACATCGTAGAGACAAGGACCTTTTCGCCTTGGTAATCGCAGTTTCAGAGACATCCAGTCCAAGCACATCCATGTTTAAGGCAGATGCGAGATAAAAAACATCATATCCCTAGAGAGATTATATGCAAGAAGAAATCATTGTGCCGGAGCCTCAGAGGCTTACTGGGCCACAACCTGGAACTAAAACACGACCTTGCCGGGGAAAATTAATACCTCCAGATTCGATGACCTCACGCAAAGGAGGCTGAGATTCTCCCGCATCCCACGGTGTGAGGTTTGCTTGCCTTTCAGAGGATCATCCAGTTTATACAAGTGCGATAAAATGAGGGTACTCACCAGACAATTTCCCAATCCAACGGGTCACCACTCTTGACGATTTCACGTACTTTGACAATATCCGGCATAGTAGAGACAAATGGGATATCAGTCAGTGACATGATAAAGATAATCAGAGATGATTATCAATGAGAATGTGTACATAATAGTAGTATTTTCGAACAGCTTTAGGTACCCGTAAGCGGTGGTATCAGATGTTCTTGAATATCCGCAATATGCCGATGGATACAGTCACGTGGGAGTATCAAGACGACCACACCAACAATCGACGCCTGCACTCGGTACTCAATATCAATCGTCTCTCACTGATTTCATCATGAATTATCATGCATCATGACTACTGCCTCCATTCTGTATGACCATCAAAACAGTGCTATTTGCTAATACAACCCACATAAATCTTAAGATTCCCATCATTACTCTCGATTTGTTTAGTTTGTGTTCAGTGCTTTGCCGGTTTCGTCCTAACCTGCGTGGATATAGTGATATACTTAGGAGATTTGCAAGGTAAACGATATGGTCGACATCGTCCCGCACATCGACGCCGTCGAAAGTACATCCATCGACTTCAACTTCAGTGATATGTAGCAGTAATAACCTTCCCTAAAGAGTACTTTCACATTCCATCCTTGGGGTTCATTGTGCATCATGGCTTGCCTCGCAATCACACCGAAGACGACAAAAGGCCTCTCGACGATTACTTCATTACCCATCCTTTCAAGGAAACTTGCACCAGACTCCGTTCCGTTTGTGTTGCGTAGTTATTAGAGGTTGTCAGATCGATAATTTACGAGTTTATTTGCCCTTTCATCCTGCCGTTTAAGTCGATTCTTGTCGATCCCTACCTCTAATTCTGTCGTTCTTGACCTCTGGGAGACACTAGGCCAACAACCTCTCGCTCTTTCAACTACGAATGCATGCACTTTGTACGAAGCGGAGCAATACATTCCTTAGTTATGACCGTGTGGCAAAATGGCATCGGGTCTGACTACGAGTCGTGAATCAGGAGATTGTAGGTTCGACCCCTGTCTCGGTCATGTTTGTCCTGTACTAGCACATGTTGTTACTTTATCGTACAAAGACCTGCTTTTAATCTTCAAATCTCTGAACGTATGAGTCACTGCCAGCATGAAATAGAGTCCTGCTCTGGGTACCTGACATAAAAAAAACATTAGAGACGAGCACGAGCCTAAGAAACTATTCGACGAACGCCTGGAGGCGTTTTAGAGTTGTAATTGACGCATGATCAGGACGGTAGATTCACTCGCCGCCTGGCGTCAAACCACGATTCGATGGACTCGTTTGATCCGACAAAACTGTTTGGTCGTGTTCATACAGTCACTTACCTATCAGAAGCCTAGGCTTGTTACCTGAGGGTAATGTTATACTATATATTTCTCACAAGATCCGGATCCCCTTGGCTTCTCGAGCTTCTATTGCACGTAAAGCTGACACGTCATCAATCATTACTGTTACCACTAGTACTATCCCCCCATAGTCCTTGAGTCGACGTGAAAGGTGTTGCGGCCAATACCCACGTTGAGCATCCAAAACTTGAGACAGACAGCAATATGACTATTTACCTGTTTCCAACTTGATTTGAGTTCAGGAACAGTGTTGTCGTTGTCTCCCCGCCGTGGACGATGGTTGAGTCAATTGTCACGCCTGCCGATTCGACGGCAACGCGGAGTCTGAAATTTCCTCGACGCAGTTAACCTTCACCACGTTTATCCCCTATGGGCCGCCGCCGCATCCAGTGCTCGCGCGACTATGAAAAAATGTATCCAGGCGGCTATACGGGTCACTGAGTGGCAGTACAAGTCCTATGCGGAGGGTTAACCTCCAGGTGAACCCCAAGACTCTCAGTAGCAGGTCTTAGGGGAAGCATCGATCATGCCGACGAGGCTTCGATTATTGTATCCAATTATATTCTCTTTCGCGCGTCCTACTCATATCATTCGCTGGGCCGAGTTTGAAAAGGGTGCCTGACCTGAGTGTGACTATATTGTGACGTCGGACTCAAGGGGTCTGCGAACTACCGGGGTGTGATAGTATGGAGTATATCTTTTCCCGTCTACTTCTAACAACTGAAAGATCGAGCTCAATACGTATGTTTGGTACGGAGAACAAGGAAAGTGAGGAGCTAATTGTTGGGAATCTGTTCTCACTATGAGAGACACAGAGATTGAACTCCATTTCAGCATATTTCCCGTATATGACGAGAATCTTCAGCCCACGAAGGTGTCGCATACCATGCATGTTCGACTTTACCAGTGCGATTCGGCAGCCTAGTCACTGTAGTATCATGACTCATTATACTTGTTTCCCAGGAATCCCAGTCGAACTCTATCGTAATATCTTTCAATATGCATCCCAGAACGAACTTGTTTCCCTTTCACAAGCATCCCGCACTTTTCAGAAGGAAGCCGAGGATATTCTTTATTATCATGTCGACCTTCAGAAGACACACAAGAATCGTAGGCTAGCGATGACATGGTGCACTGCAGTCGTTAAGAACGAGCAGAGAGCACGATGCGTCAATGCCCTCAAATTTCCATCGACATTTAAGACGCCTCTAACCGAAGATTTCAGCTTTGATATACAAGCAGCAATTGCGAGAGCTTTCAATGCTATTGTCAACCTCAAGCATCTGTGGCTCCTTGGAGTCGGAGAAAAATATACAGCTTCTTTGCATCCTGCTACACTCAAAGATTGCACTTTCAGCTTACTTTCATTGGGCGGGCAGACATCTAGCTTTGGCCCTGAGGACATGTGGGAGTTTTTGTCAAGGCACCCTCATCTTGAATACTGGGCTCCGACAGTACCTCTACTTAATGCAATTTCCTCGATACCCACTCATGTAGTACTCAGCTTGCGCCGTGTGGTCCTTGTTGATCCAAGCAAGGTCCTCTCATTGGCAAATCGGCCTATCAACTATATGTGCCTGGTTTTCGTAGCACCGGTTCTCAATCTAAGGGCAGGCTTGGACGCAATCATATCACTTCGTCCTATCTCCGATACACTTCATACTCTATCTATCACACATGGACCATTACAAAATTGGTCCACATTGGACCTGCTGTTGAGCCTGGGTAGTAGTTCACCTCATCTCAAATCATTGGCCTTTTCGACGTTTGGCAATGTTCATGAAGTGGTAAGATTACATACAACTTGAACGCACGGGCCGTGGGCGCTGACTCACGGATCATCATTTCAGATACAAAAATGGAACAGACAGAAAATCGTTGACGCCATTTCTTGTTTCTACCGTCTCGAAACACTCGTTCTCGCAACACCCACAGCAGCTGTGCGGGATTTCAATGAAGCCTCTTATGGCCAAGAAAACATTAAAAATTGGAAGGAAACTTCCTTAAATCCCGACGAATGTCGCGAAGTGGCATCTCTGGTGATCCAGTCCTCGAAAACTCTCGTCCGAATAACGCTTCCGTTTGAATCAATCACAGGCACTGTCCGGTCTTTGACATACTCTCGGTCTACCACGGATCCTTCTGAGGCTAAGTTTGAGGGTTTTCACATAATCAGTACCACAGGATGGTGGATGAGATAGAAGGTGAGATAAAGGTGAGATGTAAATATTGCGATTTCAGCGCGAGTAAGACTGACAGCCTGAGCATTAGCATCAGGTAGTTTTGTCGAGTAAATATTGAACCATATGATCTGATCATATTTCAACTGGAGATAAGTACAATTGACAAGGGATTGGCGTTTAGTGTCCACGCTGAAATGCAATGTATGGGAGGAGGGAAAGATTCTGATAAGATTTAGTTCCATAGGACCAGAATAGGACTTGGTACACTCGGTATGGCGAGAAGCTGGGGCAAAACTAGTCTACTGGGGGACACAGTTGAAGGAATATAGTCATGCAGTGGGAGTTTTACGTAGCGGGATATCCTGTAGTTGACTTTAACATAAACTGTATCCGGTATGGTGTAACGGCTAACATTGCCGCCTTTCAGTTGATTTGTCGCGGCAGCTCGGGGTTCGATTCCCCGTACCGGAATTATGGCCTTCATTATTTTGGGTTCACTTTATGATTCATACTTTCCTACCAGAGTCTTGTTTCTATTACTTTTCAGCAGCCGTTTCCGCACAGGTTTCCTTGCACCGTTAACTACAAGTATATTTACACTACTCATACTACCACATATCGAAGAAAATACAATGCCAGTTCAAATTAGAAAAACAATGAAATCATTGAAGACACGAGCGTCGACACCTGTCTACCGCTGTCGTCTCTGATAATTCATACCCTCCAAAATCCCTGACTCATGCATGAACGAGCTCCACCGCTCATCAAGCCTCGAATCGCGCGCGGCGATTCCGAGATCCGCAAGGTCTGCGTTGCCCATAAACATCGTCTCCTGCTGCAGAAACTGGCTCTGGTGCTGTGCTTGGTGAGGATATTGCAGGTAAGTCTGATGACCATGACCATGATCATGGTCTTTGTGGATATGGGCATGAGGATGTACCTGGTGGTGCGGGAGCTGTTGATGGTGCCTGGGCAGTAGCTGGGCGCGATACTGTTGCTGTTGCTGCTGCTGCGAAGGAGGAGGATGGGAATCCGGCGAAGAATGAAATCTGGATGAAACGACTCGTTGAAGTGGCATTGACGGTTGATGGTGCTGAATGGATGCCGTACTCCCTCGTCTCTGATGATCAGAGTATAACTGCACACCCTGATGAGAAGGTTCTTGCCATACACTAGATGCGGACCCGTACGTCTGTAATTCAAGGTTGTGGGTACTCCTTTCAGAAGGCGCATACGGATAATGTAGTGGCAGTGGCGAAAGATGTCTCGATATGGCATCATCATCTGCAGCATTTACATACTGCCGCGGCCATCCATTCGACGAAGAGGAGTTTTGCTGCTGTTGATACTGCTCAGAGCGGGACGACACCTCCGCGGAAGGCTTTTTCGTAGATACGAATCGCGTATGTCCCGCAAAAATCGCAAGTTCATCATCCTCATCCGACTCCTGTTCCACTTGAATATCCCACGACATTCCACCAGCAGCGTCAGATATCGACTCAGTATCTTTCTGTACAGATGATAGAGCGTGTCGAGCTTTCTCCGCGAGCTTCATGAGTACAGGCTGCAAAGAAACGAGGAGATCAGTCTACCATTCGCATGAGGACCGAAACGGGCGCGCACCAGGGCTTTGGTAGCACGGATACTATATACGCTCGCCTTGGAGAACAATATACACGCCTGCTCAAGCTCTCCCATTGCTGACTGGGCTAACGGCGACCTCGGTCCTCGCGTCACCACCGTCCCAAACACTACCTACCACAACCAGCATCAGCTCGAAAAGCATAGACGGTGAAAATCAAGAATGCACCGCAGCTGAAAACGCAAACGTCCACATCGTCCAGAACCTCGCGCACGAATTGGGCCATATCCCAAATTGCTCACGTACACTCTTGAGAATCGTCGATGCCGCACGGTACGCAGCTAGGAAGCTCGGTGCATAAACGCTCTTGAGCGGATTGGCGGGGTGTTCGATGATCGCTTGTGCAAAGAAGGAGCGGTGGATATACATCAAAACTTTTGATAGGTATTAAATCGGTATTCAAATAGTAGGAGGAAATGAAGGAAAACTTACCTGTCTCCCTGATATGATCCAACACACACCTTTGAAACGACCCGGCTAAATCCTCTCCTCCCTCTCCTCCTCCCCTCGTGTTGCCTCCTTGGACCTTTATCCCTTCTGGTAACGGAAACTCCCTAACCTTCTTATCGAGCTCAATGATCGTAGCATATGTCGGCGCTTCGGCTGTGAGAGTTCTTGATGTGACCTCTGCGACGCATTCGGCGGCAAAACGGCATTGCCAGATGCTGACTGAATAAATGAGATATTAGTCAGGGCATGGTAGGAGAGAAGGAAAGAGACCTACAGGCAGACCCGAATCCTGCTTCCGCACCTTCGCTTGATTCCCCGTCTTTAGGTTCAGGGAAACTACAGTCGATATACGTGAGTGAGAAGGATGGTGGGCGGCCTGTGTTCAGACTCTGATTTGACAATGTAGTTTTGAGTGAAATAGCGAAGGGAAGAGAAAAAGAAAGGGGAATAACATGTACCTGCCAGACATCTGCAACAAACAGATCCCAGAAGAGTATCCGTCGACGCTGGACCATCTTCGGGGTCAATCCCCATCGTGCGGAGTCGCGGTCTGTGCGAAGAGTTAGTTGAATCGTGGATGAGAGCAAAGACACACAAGGTGGAAAAGGAAAGAAAGAAAGAAATGCTGGACCACTGGACGCCGCTAAGATTACAAACAAAGTTACTGAAAAAGACGTGAATATAGGAGGGATTCTTGTTCAAAAAAATGAACGTAGAAGGAAGTCAACGAAGTAGTAAGGACGAAATAACCCGTGATACGCACGTAGTCCGATCTATAGCCCCCTCATCAGTCCTACCACCAAAACAAAAGTCGAAGACACTTACAGTCATACTCAGATGCCCCGCAAGCGTAATCAAGCTCCACGTCATCTCCATACTCGTCTCACTCTTCAGATCACTCCCACTCATTGCATTATAGATACTCAATAAGTGAAGTGTCTGTATTGTCACCAATGAAGGTTTCTCCAGTACCGGTTGTAAAGCAAGAGCGGCGCGTGAGAGCTGGTGGAAATGTTCTCCTAGAGCATTATTGGATGTTGTGCTGTCTTTGTGGGAGTATGAGTGGGTACGGTTTTGAGGTGGTGAACAGAAGGAGGTATCCATACCAACGAGTTCCGTACCCAGATTCGAACCCGAAGGCCTAACAAGGGCACCCACAGCAAAGATAATAAACAGCAGCGCGAGGTCATGTGGGCCGGAATAGTCTCCCTCCCCATCCCCATCCCCTCCTTCCTGTTCCCCCTCTCTTGACTGTGCTCTCAATTCAGCACAATCATATAGGGCAACAATCATTTCATCCAACTGTGCTTTCGTAACACCATGAAATATCCACGAACATTGCGTTAAGTACGTTTGAACTAATCCTTCAGCAGTCGATCGGGATGGAAGGTAGGATGCGATGAAGTCTTGTACGCCTGCGGGGGAACCTAAAGGGGTGAATGGGAATGAGGAAGAAAAGAGCGCGAGGGTGTCGGCGGGTGCTGACGCTATGGCGCTAGGTGATGATGATGGGAGATGTGGGGAGGTCTGGGAAGGGCTGGTGGCTGGTGTCGAGTGATGCGGTGGCGGCGAGAGGTTGGACTGTCGAAGGGTAGAATTTGACTTAAGATGAGTTTATTGGAGAAAGGGAAACGTACTATGAGAAGACTCTACGGTAAATTTAGTGTTAATTATCCATATATAATACGAAACAAAGCAAAGCTTACCTCGATGCCGCCAGTCGGTCCAAAGAACCTTGAAACACCATGGTCAGAAATACTCAATGTCCCCAACGCATCAATGACATCTCCTTTCTTTTCCTTATTCCCTTTGTCCACTTTCATCTCCTCATCCATCATTCCCAGGTCGTCATTCTCCCTCGCGACGAGGTCCGGGTGCAGCAGTGGATGCGAGGCCTGTAAAGATATGAGTGCATCCTCAAGCAGTCGGATACGCGCGCTCAGAGCTGCAATGCGCCGATGGAGGTGTTCTGTAGCTGCAATCACGAACCGCGTGCCTTGGCCTGTCGATAGGCTGCCTGCATAAGTATGGCACAAGATGTCAGTCTCGGTGCTGCAAGGGTATAGTGACGTTACGGGTGCTAACCATTAGGACATAGGGCGGCACATCCACGACGCTAAGTTACAACCGTATATAATGAGTATTTGCCTTGTCGAGAGAGGAATCTAAAGAGTACCTGACAAGACTGACATGGAATCTGCTTGTCGCACTTTATCTTGAGCCTTAGTATATATGAGTCCGTATGGTCACTTTAAGAATTTAAGTTGTATATACGATCATCGCACCTTCGACATTCGGCACAGCTAATCTATGTCAATAGTTCATTGTATATGATCGTCAGTGAACAAAACCCCTTTCAGCCAAGCATCGAGAAATATGCTTACTTCGCCTATTTCGACAATGTTTGTAAGAGGAATGAGAGGTCGTGAACGAGAAAATACCTCGGATCCTTTTCTGTTCCAACTCCCTCAGATGTCCCGTATCGAACCTCAGTCCCCCATATTCATCCAGATCCTTCCTACTTGCGCGTCTTTTTAACTTCGCCTGCGTCGGCTCAGCGGGCATCCTCTTGTGCAGACACTTCAGAGCGTATTCGAAGACTCGATCGACTGGGCAGCTTCTTATTTGACAGGCGCTTTGAAACTGATCAAACCGCTCCCAACCCGACAATGTTGCAAATCATTTCTCACGACCTGATGTGGTGTGAGTTCCTACGTACACATGCATTGACATGGTGGGATTTAACTTTATAATGGAGCAATGATAGAATTGAGAACTGAATGGAGTGGACAAAAAAACTTTTGTCGCCTAGGACGGCTACTTTTGCCAGATCCGGTTGCGATCGGCTCCGGGTAATGATGATCGATTGATCGATCATTCCTCTTTGCCGATAGCGTCCATATGCTGTTTGTAAACATGTGTCCTTGGACTTTTGGTCGTCCGTCCTGCAGCTGTGCAAGCGCACACTTATGTTTTGGTACTCTACCGAGCTCATGATCTGACATACAGGACAGATGATGCTAAATGGCAATGGTTTTCTCCTCATCCATCCTTGTCTATCCAACCATTCTCCTCCCTGGTAATTCTTTCAGTCACATCAGCTTGGTTTCTTGAGTGGTCGTACTAGATCTGATTTTGTCCCCTTCTGTTCTCACGGCAAAGATGATTGGCTCCCATACCTGTGATTCCTGACCTTTCAAAACCCACAACCTGACCTATTCATTGCTCCTTTCTATACCCACGACAAGTGACGCCCGGAGCACCTGTCATATCTGTGCAAAGTCCATGTGCACACGCAAACCATAAGACGCTTTGGCTCTTTCCATGTCGGGAAATTTCTGATCTTCGAATTCTATAAGGGATTAAACTATATTCTCTA